GGGTACCAGTTGCTCCCATCTGTAATCTTAGCTACTCAGGAGGCTGAGATCTGAGGATCACGGTTGGAAGCCAGCTCAGGAAAATCCTTGAGACTCTTATCTCTAGTTAACCACCAAAAAGCTACTAGTGGAGTTCTAGCTCAAGTGATAAAGCACTAGCCTCAAGCAAAAAAGCTCAGGACAGCTTCAGGCCCTTAGTTCAAGTGCAGGAGCAGCACATGTGCGCACACACGTGTACACACACACACACACACACACACACACACACACACGAAACGAGTATAAAATTTAAAAGCTAAAGTCTACTAGCACTGATTAAAAAGAACTTAATATAAGTCATGTCTTAGCTACAAAGGTATAAAAACGTTTTGAGAAGATCTAGTAGGAATTTTGATGGATGCAAGTAAATGGAGCTCTAAAATGGAAGTACTTATTCTTATGTGGTTAAGAGGTTTGTGGTCTCTGGAGTAGTCTAGCTTGTTCTAGGATAACTATCCCAAGTATGTGTCTTTGGGAAAGCTTCTGCTTAATCTTAACTAATTAAAAAAACAACAACAAAAAACCCTTTTTGGATACCTTTCAATACAGGAAAATTAAAAACATTAAATGGAGTTTAATTTGTAAGAATCTATACTTAGCCAATTTTCTCTCCCACAATATTCCACTTTATTTATTTTTTTCTTTCTTTAAGGAAATTGGTAAACAAGCAATTGGTCAAGAATTTCTTTTTAAACAGTCTTTCAGAACATGAGCAGAGGAAACCTTTTGCTCTACAGCAAAACCTGGAAATCTCTGGCATGGCTATAAGATGATTTCTCTTTGTCTGTTTTTCTTGAAGTGTTAAATATTGTGCTGTATCTTTGTGCAAGCAGTCTGACCCAAAGGTAGCAATTTTACACCACTTGTTGGCAAACCCCAGAGAGACCGTGAAAGACACACATGGTCGCTACTGATTCATCCAGGTTTGACATTCTTTCTTATATGGCCTGGAACTTTTTGGGTACCTGGACCTTTCTTTCAAAAATTTTTAAAAATCTCTAATTAAAGAGATTAAATCATCAAATAAATATTCTCTTTAAAAATTCACTATTATTTTACATAGTACCATAATAAACTATGGTGGTTTTCTGATTTTGTTATTTAGAAAATGAAATGAAATACCCCATTCTTTTTAAGAACTTAGTTTCATTTAACAAAAGAAGTTTTGTTTAAATATATTACATTATTTTACTCACTGTGTTTTTGCATTGGTAAATCAAAACACAATGTTGAATGTGCTGAAAAAAAATCTTATTTTTTAACACATTCAGTATTTTTCGGTTTTTAAGGGTTGCAATGAATTGGATATTTAGTGTTAGGAAAAAGATTGTCTATACAATAAGGGAATATATTTAAATTTTCAAGGACAGATAGGAGGAAGAGCTCACCTCAAATAATTTTTATTTGATTTGCTACCCTATAAGGTAGCAATTTACAGCAACTTTTTATTTTTTATGTTCCATTAATGACTTTAAAATATGAAATCTAATGAAACAATCCCATGTGTAAATATTATTCCATAGATTCTTGTAGGTAATTTCTCTATCTTCTGGACATACACTCCTGTTAAGAGCAACTTCAAAAAGTACAAACTACCTAAGAAAGGGAAAAATTAAGGAAATTTGAATATGTGGTTGTTTTTTCACACACTTAAGGTGGGCTCTGGTATCTCATGCCTATAGTCCTGGTTACTCAGGAAGCTGGGATCTGAGGATGATTGTTTGAAGCCAGCCAAGGCAGGGAAGTCTGTGATACTCTTATCTCCACGTAGGCACCAAGAAGCAGGAAGTGAAGCTGTAGCTCAGGTGGTAGCTTTGAGCACAAAAACTCAGGGACAATATTCAGGCCCCAGGACAGGCAGTAACAAAAATTAAAACACAAAGTAAACATACTTTAGGGAAACAGAATAGTTAACATTCACTGGTCTGCAGGTTTTTATTTTTCTCTTTTTGGTGAGTTCCTCGTAAAATTATTAGTAGATGTTTTAGAATATGCATACCCAGTTTGTACTGTGTTTCCTTGAGCATAACAGTTATATATATATATATATATATATATATATATATATATATATATATATAGCCATGGAAAGAAAACTTATGGTTTTATTGTTGTGTTAGCAGTGATTACATTTTAAAATCCATATAGGTATCTTGGGTTTATGTTCAAGTTCTGTTGTTTTCTTTTTAACTAATATATTTTACTTCTGATTTGCAATTTGACTCAAATGAAACAGTAAAGAAGATAATTTGCAGTGGCAAAGGCCTCAAAATGAGCAACTGAACAACTAAAAAAAATGGGAATGATACTTCCAATAAAATTTCCTGTTTCTAGGAAGTGTTCCCTTTATGATTTCTCTTGTATTCTTTCTGAAGCAAAATCTTAGTTTCATCTTGATGCCAGTGGTTTTCCTTTCCCTTCTTTCTCCTTTGTATTTTATTTTTGTATTTTCTTCTCTTAATTTTATTATTACATATATATATATAGTGTGTATGTGTGTGTGTGTGTGTGTGTGTGTGTGAGAGAGAGAGAGAGAGAGAGGGAGACATGTGCATAATATACACAAGTCCTGGGGTTGGAACCTCTGGGCCTGGCACTATCCCTGAGCACTTTTGCTCAGGGCTAACTCTAGCATTTGAGATTTGAGCTACAGCTTCATTTTTAGCTTTTTTTTTTTTTTTTGGTAGTTTATTGGAGATAAGTCTCATGGACTTTCCTGCCTGGGCTGGCTTCAGACCTTCAACCTTAGATCTTACCCTCCTGAGTAGCTACAATTACAAGTGTAAGCCATTAGTGCCTCACATTAATTTAATTTTTAATACTAGCATAGAGTAAAAAAGAATTAGTAATCGATTATTTCCTGTCTTTTACTAATATACATTATGTCCCTAGTGTTATTATTTCTTTCCAGGAGTTGTAGGATGTTTTTAATATTTTGTTTAATGTATAGAGAATTTGAAGTAAAAGCAAGGACTCTGAATTCTCTCACTATGGGGAAGGTCCTGGGATTGAATATTTAGGTATTTCAAGATTTTCCCCGTAAACTCACAAGGACTGCTCACAGGGTCAGAACTATGTAGTGATGGTGAGAACAGAACAGTTAACACATTGCTGTGGTATGTAGTCACTGTCACGTGTGCACTGCACCAGAAAGACACTGGAGAATGCTAGTTGCCACCATTGCTAGTTCAGTTTGGAAAGCATCTACCTTCAAAGAAGATTTTGAAGTGTTAGTGCTGACCCAAGAATGGAGGACATAGTTTGGTTAAATGTAACTGATTAGACATGGAGTTTTAGTATATTATTGTAAAGCCATTATAAGACTATATCTTATTGTAATAAAAGATAAAAAATATGGACTACATTTTTATTTAGATTATCAAAGGAGATTCATTTTCTTTTTTAAGCCAAATTCTTTAGTTCTTGTGTTGCTTTGAATGCTCAATATATATTTTTACCTTGAACAATGTGTTTGTATTAATTTTTTAGGGAAGAATGTTACAATATATATTATGAATTCTATTAGACTATATTATCAATTCTATTACATTAGATGAAAATAAAGGTAGACATTACCTGTCCTTTTTTTTGGTCGGTTGTGGGGCCTGAACTTTGGGCCTGGGTACTGTTCCTCAGCTCTACAGCCCAAGGCTAGCACTCTACCACTTGAGCCACAGCACACTTCTGGCTTTTTCTGCTTATGTGGTGCTGAGGAATCGAACCCAGGGCCTCATGCATGCAAGGCAGGCCCTCTACCACTGGGCCACCTTCCCAGTCCTTATCTGTCTTTTTAACCAGTAAAGATGGCTAGATAGTTTTGTTATGAGTAAGTAGCTTGCTTCTGTAATAACTTAATTTTTGCATATAATGGCATTTATGCCATATGTTGGGTATTGTTACCTGTCATCTTGAATGCTACCATACTTTTTGTGGTTGCTGCGTAGAATATTTTCTCTATTAGTGGCATAGATTTTAAAAATGGAAATATTCAGTGTATTATCAGATCGTATTGGTTAAAGAAGATTACATAATCCAATAAAATCATTGTTGTAATTGCATTGCTTCAAAATTATAATTTTCCTATTCTTAAAGGATACATGATGTATTTGAGTACTCTTACCAATATTTATATCTATTTCTTTAGTTATGTAGAGATACTATCTTAAAGAATAGTAGTTATGGGCTGGGAAGGTGGCTCAGTGGTAGAGCATTTGCTTTGCACGCTTGAGGCCCTGGGTTCGATTCCTCAGCACCACATAAGCAGAAAAAAAAAGCTGGAAGTGGCACTGTGGCTCAAGTGGTAGAGTGCTAGCCTTGAGCTGAAGAGCTGAGGGACAGTGCCCAGGCCCAGAGTTCAGGCCCCACGACCGGGCCCTCCCCCCCCCCCAAAAAAAGAATAGTTATTCTGAAGTTTTTTTTACTATAACTAATGGAAATATATTCACCGTATATAGATACAATGATGTTCATGAAAGAAAAAGCCAGTTGTACATGATACATGATAGGCTTGTAATGAAAACTCCGTTTCATTTGCTAACTTTGCAATTTAATCCACACACACATATATAAATGTACATATACATATAATATGTGTATAATATATGAATATATGAAATATACATAAATATATACACATATATGAAATATATATTTCTACCTATACACATAATATTCCCAACCAGGAGCCTGATTCTTTTTTTTTTTTTTTTGGGTCCAGTCATGGGGCCTGAACTCCGGCTCTTCATGCTCATGCATGCATGGCAAGCGCTTCACCACTGAGCCACCTTCCCAGCCTGAGCCTGATTCTTAATTGAATAATTTTTGTCAACTAACTGATTATCATTTGTAGATAAGACCTGATATCCCATTTTGTAAGCTTGCTGATACTTTTTTCATCATAATAAAATGGTTATGCTTTAGTAACTAATTCTTTTCTACACTTTTTCTTCCCCTGTCTTTAGAAAAATTGGAAGCTCAACCTCCCACCCCAGGACAACTGAGATATGGTAATGTCTCTAGAATTGTTAAATGTGAATGGATCTCCCTTTTGGTCTTGAAATAACGATGTTTCATCAATAGCACAGAATAGTCGATAAATTAAATCTTCCCAGATAGTGTGGATTAGCCTATTTATTTTGTAAGAGCAAAAATTTATAAACTTGTTTTGGGATGTATCTGACACTATGGGATATCTGTATTGTTAAAGCATATCTAATACTGTTAAAGAGGGTTTTTACTAAGTAGAAATGGAGAGAGTTTTTTTTTTTTTGGTGGGTTGTGGGGCTTGAACTCAGCCTGGGCGCTGCTCCTCAGCTCTTCAGCTCAAAGCAAGCACTTTACCACTTGAGCTACAGCTCCGGTTTTCTGGAGATAAGAATTTCACGGACTTTCCTGCTCGGGCTGGCTTTGAACCATGATCCTCAGATTTCAACCTCCTAAGTAGCTAGGATTATAGGTGTGAGCCACCGGCACCCAGCTCAAAATGGAGAGATTTTTTAAGGTAACTGTTGAACTAGAAGTTGTAAACTGAAGGCTAGGTAGAGTTGTTTTCTGATACAGAAATATTTCTGGTTTGCTGCTTGTAACAATGTAAGTTTATTTAAAACCACCAGCAAGAAGAACCTTATTCATGTTCCTGATGTTACTTTGTTTTTCTCTGTTATGATAGGAATAAATACTACAGAACAAACATAGAATTAATGTAAAACACCTAGGATTATTATAAAGGTGATGGAAATAGAGAACTAGTTTAGTAGTGTAGGAGTGAATTTGAGTAGGTTGTAAATTAGGTAGTTAAATATTAAATGTTATTTGCTAATGACTGCTTAGTTATGAAATAACGTTTGCTAAAGAAAGTTGAGTCAAAAATTAGTGTTCATTACTGAGAGCAAGTTAAAATAATTAGGAAAAGATAATAGCAAGTCCTTTTTTGTCTCACAGGTAGAATATAACATACTAGGAATAAGTAGATTTCTTCAAATACCAACACAATTTAAGAATTCTTCAGGATTTGTCTTCCCAAGTAAACTTTTCTTGGTTCTACAAGCTTAGAAGCTATCAACATCACTATAGAATAGTAGTATCATCTTTTTTGTAGGTGATAATGGAATTAACCATTTATGTGAATAACTTACCATACTGATCTAAATCTTTGAGTGGTAGGACCCACATCTTATCTATCTTTGTGTCTCAAGTTCACAGTGGAACATCTAGTACATATTTGGTTTTGAAAAGCTATTTTTGCTTTGGATTAAAAATAGTTTCTATTTATAGAACCCATTTAGATACAAACAAAAAGATACATCATATCTTATAGTTCAAAGTGATTAGTATAGCAATGCATCTTGATTTTACTGAGCTTTTGCCAGTATGAAAATTAGTATAATATTACTGTGTTTTTGTTTTTGTTTTTTTTTTGGGTCCGGTCGTGGAGCCTGAACTCTGGGCCTGTACACTGTCCCTCATCTCTTCAGCTCAAGGCTAGTGCTCTACCACTTGAGCCACAGCACCACTTCCAGCTTTTTTTCTTTTTGCTTATGTGGTGCTGAGGAATCGAACCCAGGGCCTTTTGCTTGCAAGGCAAGCACTCTACCACTGAGCCACCTTCCCAGTCCCAATATTACTATTTTTGACTCCCTATTTTAAACTATTTGTTACTGGCCAGCTTTAGAGGCATCAGTAAGATAACTCGCAACCAGAAAGCCATTCCAGCTGCCTCACTACTACTTTTTCCTGTTTATGTTTCAGAGACCATTGGGAAAATGATATCTAGATATACCTAAGTAGCTTTCTCTTCACTTTTTTTTCTTTTGGTGAATTTAAAGGAGTTTATTATTCTCTTTTGGCCTATTGTGTTTGTACTATGTATTTGGAAATTGTTTGTGTATATGTTTTATAAGCTGCTTATTGCCAAATTTGAATGTTCGTGTGAAAAGTCCAAGAATTTTGGACTTTTTTTGCCTCTTTGAATAATCCCATTTCATCAGTGTACTATTTCATTTCTTATCACCTTAATAGTATTTAATATCATAAGCTGAGATCTGAGGATCACAGTTCAAAGCCAGACTATGCAGGAAAGTCCGTGAGACTCTTATCTCCAAATAAGCCATCAGAAAATCAGAAGTGGTGCTGTTGCTCAAGTGGTAGAGTGCTTGCCTTGAGTTGAAAAGCTGAGGCACAGTGTCTAGGACCAGAGTTCAAGCCCCATAACCAACCAAACTGCGCCCCCCCCCCAAAAAAAAAATGTTGAATGCTGAAAAAAATGCTGAATGAAAAAAAAAGCTGAATGTGTTTGTATTGTTTATACCAGTATTCAGGAGGCTAAATTCAGGAAGGCTGCAAGTTTAAGACCAGTGTGAGCTACACTGTGAGATCTCATTTCAAGAAAGATTCTTCATATTGAATATTTTCCTTTTGGACATTTTTACTTAATAGGTTAAATGGCCTATTATGTTGTATCCTATGTAATATTACAACTATAATATTGTATATGTGATACACATTTCCATTCTATATATACAAGTTCATTGATGGTGTGGAATTTGTTATGGTGATACCAAACTTTCATGGCCTTTGGATTGTATTTTCATTATACATATATCATTATACATATGTTCAGTATAATTTTCTGTTAAATTGTAATTTTATTCAAAAGAAGAAAAAAAATCTAAAATCAAGTTGATATTTTTAACCTATAGTATAAAATTTAGATTCTTGATATTCATCCAAGGAAGTGCTTAGCTCAGCTGATAGCTGACTGTACTTGAGCAGTTTTATAGATCAATCAGAATGAAGCCTTTTGCCTATTCCTCACTCTGAATCTATTTCATAGTCTGCCTTCAGTTCTCTAAGTATGAAATTTTCTTTTCCAGGTTAGTGGTCCTCAATTATTATCAAATTCTATGTACTCCACATTGTACAATATGCTGAAAATGCAATATGAGTAAATGTGTAAAACAATCAGTGGTTTTCATCTTAGCATTTTTAGTGTCTTACATCGCTCAGTTTATGTATGAGATAGATGAGGTAAGATGTGCCTTTAGTCGGAAGGGAACAAGTTAAATTTTCATGTAAAAAAGACATTAATCTTCATAGCTTGTCGTATTATTTAGGGATTCTTCTGGATTGTAAGGTGAGAAAGACATCACATCAATGTCTAATAAGAATGAGATAATCACTTTTATAAAACACATCCTTAAAATGTTACTGGTGAGTGAAAGTAGTTAGATAGTTGGCCTGAAAATTTATTTGAGACATTTTTCATTATTTCCAGTAGATCAGTTTTATGGTAGTTCTCTTTAGGTATAAGAGACAAACACATTTATATCAGTAGCAATAAATCAGGCAAGACATGAAACTAATAATATATGCTTAATGATTTATTCTGTTATGTTTATTTCTGTGAATGTGTGAGATAGAGAGGAGGGAGAAAGATGGAGGGAGAAAGAGAAAGAGATTAAGAAACAAAGAGAGGGCTGGGAAGGTGGCTCAGTGGTAGAGCACTTGCCTTGCATGCTGAGGCCCTGGTTTTGATTCCTCAGCACCACGTAAGAAAAAAGCTAGAAGTGGCGCTGTGGCTCAAGTGGTAGAGTGCTAGCCATGAGCTGAAGATCTGAGGGACAGCGCCCAGGCCCAGAGTTCAGGCCCCATGACTGGACCCCCCCCCCCAAAAAAAAAAAAAAAAAAAAGAAAGAGAGAAAGAGGGTTTCAGTAACAAAATAAAGACCTAACATTTGTTTTGTTTTGTTTTGCTTGTTTTCCAGTATAATATCTATTAAATTATTTTAGCTTATAGCAACAGCAAGATCTATTGACTGTTATTAATGACAAATAAATTGCACTGATAATCAAGTCTTTTTAGGACAGTTCAATGATAACATTTGTTTTTGTCATTCTGAAATGTCAGAATCTTCAAATATATTTTTCTGTTGATGTTTTCCAGTATTCATCCACAATGCGATACCTTTCGTAGGGTTTGGCTTTTTGGATAATGCAATTATGATTGTCGCAGTAAGTTTTTTTCTCTCATCATTTCTATTTTAATAAAGAAATCAATGTAACCTGTATTATCCTAACAATTTGCATACTATAATTGTAATTTTAATTATTATAATAAACGAGGCTTTTTGATTATATTTCATATTGATTAGACCAACTTGATCTTAAAACATCATATATGTTAACTCTTTAAGATTCTTGGCAAAGCATCTAGACAAACATTTTTAGTTTATATTCTGTTCTAGTTTCAGCATTTTTATTTAAAAGGTACATAAAGTTTTCTGGTGTACTTTCATTGTATTGTAGTTGTTATCACATAAGTATTATTTAATTATTTTTTTTCATTCAGAAATGTTGTTTCAAGGACTGGGAATGTGGCTTAGTGGTAGAGTGCTTGCCTGGCATGCATGAAGCCCAGGTACAATTCCTCAGTATATACATAGAAAAAGCCAGGAGTGCGGTACTGTGACTCAATTGATAGTGCTAGCCTTGAGCTGAAGAGCTGAGGGACAGCGCTCAGACCCGGAGTTCAAGCCCCAGGACTGACCAAAAAGAAAAAAAAAAGTTTTATCAGTGTTTGGATACTAGCCCTCTGTCTAGCTATTTAACCTAAACGTGTCTTAGGATCCATTGTAGAACTTTGACTACAACACTCTTCTGCCTCTTGCATTGTAGTGTTAATGAAGTTCTTATCTAGTGCTGATAGCTCATACCTACTGTCCTAGCTACTCTGGAGGCTAGGACCTAAGTATCACAGTTTGAAACCATTCTAGGCAAGAAAGCTTGGGAGACTCTTATCTCCCTCTAAGTAATACCTTGCCTCCTCCCACAAACAAAGCCTGAAGTACAGCTGTGGCTGAAGTGGTAGAAAGCTCTGGGACAGCTCCCTGGCCTAGAGGTCAAGCCAGACAAACAAAAAGAACAACTAATTTCCCCTTTGTCCAAGTATTAGATTTCTTTATATTTTTTCCTCACCTTGTAACAGAATCTGATTGGTGTAAATATGGGACAGAATTAAAAACTGGAGCATTGATGGTCCTCAGACCATCTTTGAATTTTCATGAAGCTTTCCACGATCTTAGAGGCATCTCTTTAAATATGTTAAAGCATGCTCTTTAAACATCTCTTAAAACCAACCAAATGATAAGCACACAAATTCTTTTTTGCTTTGTTTTATTTTCTTGGCTTTTCATTGTGTTGAGGGTCAGTCAAATTTAGGGCTTCATTCATGCTTAAGTAAGCACTCTGCCTACTGATCTGTCTCCCTAGACCACAATATGTGTATTCCTGAGTCTCTTCTTGGGTCATAGGCAATGATTTGTTATTGTTGAAGATGCTGCATATATTATTTTGCACTATGGCTTTGACATGTTTCTCTCATCTGTAGTGGTACTTCAAGATTTTTGCAAACACATATAAACATGCATCCTCATGCTTTTCCTTGACACCTGTTATTTTCCCTCCCTCCCTCTCTTCTTCCCTCCCTTTCCTTTCTTTTCTTTTCCTTTCCTTTCCTTTCCTTTCCTTTCCTTTCCTTTCCTTTCCCTCCCTTCCTTCTTCTCTTCTTCCTCTGAGTCTGTCTCCCCTCCCTTCCCCTTTCCTCCCCTCCCCTCCTGCCTGCTTCCTTCCCTCCCCTCCCCCCCTCCCCTCCTTTCCTCTTCTTTTTGTTTAATTAATTTTTCAGAAGTCTATTTCCTTGGATGCCTTTAGAAAGCTTATACTTCTAAGTGCCTGGGCTACTTTGGTGCCTCTGGCTGTTTGGTCCATATTCAATAAGAATCATATCTTAAAGGGAAGGACTCAAAAGTCCTAGAGGCAAGAAAGTTGAAGGGAACTTAATTCAGCTTCTTTTTATTTTTGTGCATTCACAAAAATTGATAAATGATAAGATATTTCTAAATAACATCATTCTTTTTTTCACCTCAACATTGAGATTTGAAAATTTGAAAGATGTATTCAAATGTATGTATTTAAGAGAGTTCATGAAATTGTCTACTTATGATAGCCTTGCTTAAGGATTAGAACTGAATTAATACAGAAAATTTTAAGATTTCTTTTTTACTGTAGATAAAATAGATTAATAATACATAACAATAAGTTCTGTTTTGAATAGTTTAATCTTCAGTTCTTCTTAAAGCAAAAAAAAATTTGTCTGTATGAGCTTTATGTTTTTCAGTGAGCAATGTTGATATAAATGTAGAAAGGCTTGAGATAAATAGATTCAGGCTAAGTACTCATTTTTACTGTAGCATACTGTGTTAATGTGGATTACTACTTACAAGTGAATCACATAGTTTATAACTTAATGGTTAAGACCTGAATGTTAGGACAGTTTTAGAAACGCTTTTTCTCTAGGAACTTGATTTAGTCTGCCTTCTTAATCTTTTGATAGAGTAAGTAACAATTCAAACTTCAAGATTAGGCATGTTGGCCTTCGTGTTGAGAGCTTTAAAACATTTATCTGTGATAAACCTGAATTTTGCATTATTAATGATAAATTGATTTCTGTATGCATGTATTTTTAATTTTTATTGTCTAATTTTAATGAATAAAATGTTATTGATATTACGTCTGTAGTAATTGCATATTTAATAATTAAGTGATTTACCTCATATATGTAGATTTCTTCATATTTTATATATAATTGTGCTATATTAACATGTCAATAAACCATTTTATCTTTTCTTTAACACTGCTGTTTTATGGTTACTTCAGCTATAATTTTTAAGATTGTTTTTCATAATTATATTTTTAGGGAACACATATCGAGTTGTCTATTGGAATTATTTTTGGAATTTCAACTATGGCAGGTATTTACTAATAGAATTGCTTATATATTTATAAAACATTTCAGTAAATTAAGTTGAGAAGAGGATATTATTTGAAATGTATTTACTCACTGAGATTAATTTATTAATATAGCTCCTTCCAATATGGTTCTTAATTTTATAAATGTAGCATTTTATGTTAGTTTATAAGTAATAATTCTCTATTGTCGCTTGTAAGACAGATTTTTTTGGTTATTCATTGTTAGCTCCAAGCCTTTTAACCTTTTTTGTCTTTATATTATTTATTTCTTAGTTGGAGAGAAAAATCAAAAAACAAGATTGAGATTCTATCTTCTTTTCTTCCCTCATTACTAGTTTATTCTTTATGATGATGAAATTTGGCAACGATTTCGTTATTGATTTTATAGGAAGCACAGGGCTGAGTTACTGAAAAATATCTTCCTTTCCCTGACTGGCTTAAATTCAAAGCTGTATGTATGGCAACTTCCAAGTATCCAAACTCCCTGAAACAAATGAAGGATAAACTACACAATACTTTGTAATCATTTGAGTGATGGAAACTAACTACTGTAACAGAATGAAACTTTATTACTTAGTGGAGTTGATATATAATCATTTCAGACTTACACTCTATTTTGAACTATTAGGATTTAGAACTGTCCAGCAACTTGCTTTGAATACAGTTATTATATAATACTCTATTGATTACATAGTTATATATCATCTTGACTTTTCTGACTTTGGTGTAACAAGTCACTCATCCATTTTTCATATTTTTAGCTGCTGCTTTGGGGAATCTTGTGTCAGATTTAGCTGGACTTGGGTAGGTTCATTCATTTATTCATTTGTGCATTTGTGTATTCTTACCTAGTCTTTTTTCCCCTCCATTCTCCTTTAGTTGAGAAGCATAAAGAAGACACTGTTTTTCTTTGTATTCCAGAAGTGTAATTTTAAATGTAATATACCAAAATCGGTAGTAAATATTTGTGTAACAAACAGATTCCTAAGTGTACACCCATCACCAGGAGATAGTGCTCAGCATTCTGATGCATGCAGATGTGTATCTTAAAACTACCACTCTGTAAGCAAAATTGAATTGTCATTTACTGAAGATAAAATTTGCAGATATTCCTAAAGGTAAGACAGGATCTAAGGCAAGAACTTCTGTCATCCCATTCTCACAAAACCCAAATTTGATAATATTGACCGGGCATGTTTACTAGTGAGTGAAACTTTCAAAGGAAATGGTGACACACAGGTTTTACTTACACATGTACATGCGCTGGCACACATACAACACATTGGCGTTAAGGATTGCATCCAGGGCCTTGTATATGCTAAGCACATGCTCTATCACTGAGCTATACTGTGACTTCCAAATAATTTGTTTGGCCATTCATTTCCTCTTTGTTTCACATGATGGGAATGATAAAAAACAATTGAGGATGATACTTTAAAAAGGCCAATTCTCTCTCTCTCTCTCTCTCTCTCTCTCTCTCTATTCTCTCCTCTCTCTTCTCTCTCTTTTCCCTCTTACTCTTTTCCCTCTTCCTTCCCTCCTTCCTTCCTTTTCTCTTTCCCTCCCTCTTTCCCTCCTTTTCCCAGTGGCAGATGGCCTGGGCTGAGGCCTGAGCCTGGGAAAGGCTGAGAAATTGGCATTAGTTATGATAAACATCTTTTTCTTGTTTTGTCTTTGTCTTTCGCTTCCTTCCTTGTTTACTTTAGGTGTAGAACATCTTGAGACTTGGATTTGGGTTTAGTAGAAGTCTACTTACCTGTAATCTATACAAACACCATTTAAAAGTGATCTAACCCTCGTTATTTAGGGTTTTGCACTTGAGTTTGGGGCCAAAGCTATTATGTAAGTTCCTTTGCTCCAGAATATTGACCAGAATTTTATATTCACTGAATTCCTGACATAAATTTTTTTTTGGGGGGGGTCCAGTTGCGGGGCCTGAACTCTGGGCCTGGGCACTGTCCCTCAGCTCTTCAGCTCAAGGCTAGCGCTCTACCACTTGAGCTACAGCGCCACTCTGGCTTTTTTCTTTTTGCTTATGTGGTGCTGAGGAATCGAACCCAGTACCTCAGGCATGCAAGGCAAGCGCTCTACCACTGAGCCACCTTCCCAGCCCCTGACATAAATCTTTTATGGTAACACATCATAAACATTCCGTTTCCAGTATTAAGGTTAATAATAATAATATAGCTACAGCATAGCTTTCTGATATATTTAATAGAGCCAAATGATATACTATATTTTGACATCGTGTAGTTTAAGGTTATATTATAAAACAATTGTTTTTGATTAAAGGTGAAAATTTTACTATATATAAAAATTATTTTATTATATATGTAAGAACTAGTTTATATATAAGAATGATTTGCTGACTTTTGCTGTCGATAAGTAGCAGATACTGCTTTTATGGATTCTTAAACAGATGATGACATACATTTTTTTATTAGCAAGCTTTTTTCTTTTATATGGTTCATAAAATAAGATTATGTTAAAAATATAGCAGGCTGGGTGCTGGTGGCTCACACCTGTAATCTTAGTTACCTAGGAGGCTGAGATTTTAGGATCATATTTCAAAGCCAGGTGGGCAGGAAGTCTGTGAGATTCTAATCTCTAGTGAACTACCAGAAAAACATGAAGTGGAGCTCTGGCTCAAAATGGTAGAACACTAGCCTTGAGCAAAAGAGCTCAGGAACAGCACCCAGTTCAAACCAAAACATAATAAAAGCCGTGTGTGTGTGTGTGTGTGTGTGTGTGTGTGTGTGTGTGTGTGTGTGTGTGTGTGCACGCTTAAGAAAATACTTGAGGTCAAGTATGAAAATTCTCAGCTGTATTTTTTAGTTTACCAGTCTGATAAATTTGAAAAACTCTTGCTTTATAATAGTTATTAATTGCATCATATATTAAAATATTTTGCTTTGAGTTTGGAATAAGTACAGACATAATTATTTATAAAAATGTTTTTATGTACCTCCAATTGGTCTTTTATAGGCGATGATATAGAATAATTACTCTAGGTCAGTTTACCTATGTATGAAATATTCTGATATGAAAATATTTTTAAGTTGATACAATTCTTATAATTGTATCATATCCAGATTGCCAAGTAATGGTGTAAAAATGATAGTGTTCTCTTTAGAGTAATTGCCTTTAATATTTGAGGACATTTTGCATGTTTTGTTTTTTTTTTAACCCATTTCCTGTTTTGTTCTTTTAAAGACTTGCAGGTTATGTTGAAGCTTTGGCTTCCAGATTAGGCCTATCAATTCCTGATCTTACACCAAAACAAGTTGACATGTGGCAAACACGTGTTAGCACACATTTGGTAAGTCATTTATATAATTTAGGATCATAAATTCTGATACAGCATGGCAGTGTACAGTTAAGGTCCTCGAGAACTTTGAGACTAAAATTGATTAGATTGGGGATATTTTTGAACATTATGTAGGGCTTGGCAATTAATAAAAAACAATTAAACATATTATTGCTTTTCGTAAAGCAATAATATATTTCTTGGTTCTTTACTTCTTTTAGATATGCTTGATTTTTTTAAAATGCAACTCAGTTAATAGTAAGGAATAGCTGTTGTGTGCTAGATGTTAAAGGATAAGAAATAAATAATAATAGTTATCCTTGAGAACACGTGTAGACAAAGTACCAGACATGTAGACAAATTATTATTTAGTAGATGTGCGATGGTAGAATTATGCACAGGATACATCAATAGCATGGATAAGAGAACTGACATTTTGTGGAAAGAAATTTCTTTTAGTGGAGAGAGCTCTTTGTAATTGATAGATCTAAGCTGATGTTTAAATTATTGATGGGGAGCAAGAGTTTCAAGAATTCTGACTAACAAATAGAAGGGAATGATCTTTAAAAAGAGTATATTCAGAAACATATAAAACTTAGGTATTTCATGAATAAACTCTGTAGTAATTATGGGTAAGAAGTCATAGGAAATAACATTGGAGAGAGAATCATGGCTCAGGCAGTAAAAGCAGTTGACATGCTCTTCTAAGGACCTTGAGTAGACGGTAACTCAACAAAGGTTTGAACTCTACCTTAGTAGACACTCTGCCACTTGAACCACTCTGCCAGTCCCTTTTTATGTTTATTATTTTCAATACAGCAGTCCTCCTATTTGTGCTTCCCCTTGTCTTTGGGATGACAGGTACTTACCCCTGAAGCCTGCCAGGGTGCTTTCCTCAGGGCTTGGGATGACAGGCTTATACCACATACCCAGCCATTGGTTGAGATGGAGCCTCACAAACTCTTAAGCCTGGCTGGCCACAAAACACAATCACCCAGACTACCTCCTGAGTTGAACCACCTTGCATTTGGACTTGACATGGATTAAAAACCAGGAGTTATAGAAGTCTAAATGAATGGGTATCATTGTTTAGTCATTAAACAACTATTTGCTGTTTACCTGCTAATGTGCTAAGTACCAGTCTAGGAGTCCTGAATGCATTGGGTTGCAAAATAAGCTTCTGTAGAGAAGGAGACAATGAACATATCTGCTGAATAAAATATTCAGTAGTATAGAAGTTCATTAATAAAAAATTTTTAAAGCACAGAAAAGAGGTTGAGAGTAATGAGACAGGCAGATTGCAGTATTAAGTAGGAGTGACACTGTAGGTCTGATTCAAAGGGTAGATAGGAGTTAAAACAATGGGAAACTGGTTTAATAGGGCAATGGATCTCAAAGTGTGGTGCCAAGACCAGCAGGATCAACTTTATAGGAACCTATTAGTAATGCAAACTCCTAGCTTTCCTTTTAGACCTATTACTGTGTAAAAAAAGTTACCATGAGTTTAGCAGCTTATGACAAGATAAGTTTATTCTAACTTCCTGTGGCTCAGGAAATAAGCACAGCTTGCTAAGCAGATCCTGTAGAAAATTACAGTCAGTATATAGCCAGAACTTGGTTCTTCTGTGAAGGTTTAGTGGTAATGGATCTACTTCAAGGCTAAACTGGAATTGACAAAGTTAATTTCTTTGTGCCTATAAAAGTCCCAGCCTCTGGTGATCTGTTGGCCAAAGGCTGCTCTCCTCCCCCGCAGCCTCCCTCACTGTTTTGAAGTCATTTGCAGCTCCTTGCCGTGTGCCATGCACCTGGCATAGACCCTTGCAGAGCAAACCAATTTGATTCTTATAAGCCAGCAAGGAAGAGAAAGGAGTAGGGGGCCAGGAGTCATAGCTATGTTATATAATCACAGGATTCACATCTCATCACTGTTCTATTGGTTAGAAGCAAGTTATAATACCTCACCATTTAAAATATTTTATGTATATGATACTCAGCTTAAGGAGAGGCAGAAAACAAAGCTGTATTTATGGAATGATTCCATTTTTTATTTATTGAAAGGTACTTGGAGGTTTCTTTTTCTGCCTCCACATCCTCCTCATCCTCCTAATCCTTCTTATCCTTCTTATCCTCCTTGTCCTCCTCCTCCTTTTTTTTGTTGTTGGTCATGGGGCTTGAATTCTGGGCCTGAGTGCTGTCCTTGAGCTTTTCAGCCCAAGACAAGCTCTCTACCACTTGAGCCACAATGCCACTTCTGGTTTTCTGGTGGTTAATTGGAGATAAGAGTCTCATGGACTTTCCTGCCCAGGCTGGCCTCAGCCTTCTGAGTAGCTAGGATTAGAGGCCTGAGCCACAGGCACCTGGCTTGCCTTAGTAATTTATTTATCTATTTATTTATTTGTTTGTTTGTTAGTCGTGGGGCTTGAACTCTGGGCCTGGACACTGTCCTTTAGCTCAAGGCTAGCACTCTACCACTTGAGCTACAGCACCACTTCTTATTTTCTGAGTGGCTTATTGGAGATAAGAGAATCACAGACTTTCCTGCCTGGGCTGGCTTTGAACTGCAATCCTCAGATCTCAGCCTATTGAGTAGCTAGGATTACAGGCGTGAGCCACCAGTGCCCAGCCCCTTTATTTATTTGTTTGTTTATTTATTTATTTACTTACTTACTTATTTTTGGGTCTGGTTGTGGGGCCTGAACTCTGGGCCTGGGTGCTGTCCTTCAGCTCTTCAGCTCAAGGCTAGTGCTCTACCACTTGAGCCACAGCGCCACTTCCGGCTTTTTTCTTTTTGCTTATGTGGTGCTGAGGAATTGAACCCAGGGCTTCATGCATACAAGGCAAGCTCTCTACCACTGAGCCACCTTCCCAGCCCCCCTTTTTATTTTTTAACATTAAAATATGTCCAATTTTTGATAAGTGTTTTCTGTTTAAATATTTCCTTGATGCTGCTTTTTATGACATTTAAAAATGTTTCCCTGGTTACTTTGAACTTTATTTATTTATATATATTTTTTGTGGGTTGTGGGGCTTGAACCTGATCAGGGCCTGGTTGCTGTCCCTGAGCTCTTTTGCTCAAGGTTAGCTCTTTGCCACTTTGAGCCACAGTGCCACTTCTGGTTTTCTGGTGATTATTTTGGAGATAACAGTCTCACGGTCTTTTCTGTCTGGGCTGGCTTTGAACCTGGATACTAGGATCTCTGCCTTTTGAGTAACCAGGATTATAGGCCTGAGCCACCACCAGTGCCTGGCTAACTTCAAACTTTAAACTGATCTGTTCTGAGATACTGGTGTAGCTTATTTTTTATATTTAAATACTGTGATCAACCGAAATGCAATCACTGTTGAATTTTATAGACAGGGGAATTGTCTGTTGTCATAGATACTTGACAAGAATTCCTGTTCCAGGAAGATTAGAAGTTTAAACAAATGCTCTCTTGTGTTTCCCTTAGGGCAAAGCTGTCGGGGTGACGATTGGCTGCATTCTAGGAATGTTTCCTTTGATTTTCTTTGGAGGAGGTGAAGAAGATGAAAAACTGGAAAAGAAAAATTAACCCTCTTAGACTACATATAAAAAAGATGTAAACTAATGTACCTCAGTTATGAAATATGCTGTCACAACATTTAGGAATTAAGACAGTAACAGTGTATAGATATGGGATCAAATAATTCAGCATGTATTATGGAAAACACTAACTTATTGTGGCTTGGTTTTCTTATGACTTTTTTTTAAAGAACTAGTAACATTTTATGTAAATTGTTGAAATGCTTTTTCATCGATGGCAGTCAACATTTTATCTTTTCCTTCTCTTTCTGTATCAAAATATTATTTAAGTTCCAGTCATTGCTGTACTGTACTGACTTGGGGTTTGCTTGTTTGGTACTTACCCGTGTGACATGCATGAAAACATTTTTTGTTGCTGTTGTTGCTGTCTTGCTGTTCCCTGGTGGTTATAATCCAATCATGCGGTTTCCTCAGTTATTTAGGATGTACAATATCTTTTTTCTCTCTTTTTGTGATAACACCAATTTTATAGTGTTTCACAGTAAACATTTACAGTCATATAATCTGTTATTTTCTTAATTCTTACATCAATGGATACAGATTTCAAGTGTTTTATGTATGTAATAGTTTAATTTCCTGACCATTCTGTTTTAAGAGCCAGAGACTAATCAGAAAGAGCAATTATGTAGTCTCCTTACATAAAACCATATATACTAAGTGTACTTATTTCTATTTGATTTTTTTTAACCTTTAGTTTCCTGCTTTGAATAATTACACGATGGATTCTGACTCCTGAGGGAAAGAAAGTTTTTAATAGTCTTTTACAATAGAGATGGTAGAATTAGGGTAAATTTAAAAATATGGCATAAAGGTTGGCTATTAAAAGAGTAAAGTAGTTGGGCACAGTGGCTCATGCCTGCAGTGCCCAGTTAGTTGGGAAGTGGAGATTGGGAGTATTGCAGTTTGCAGTCAGCTTGGATAAAAGCGTTGTTGAGTCATCACAACAAATTAAGCCAGGTGTGGTTATTCATGCCTGTAAAAATCTCAGTTATTGGGGAAGTCTAGGTCAAAGGCTGACTAGGGCAAAAACAGGAGACTCCTATTTGAAAAATAACCTAAAGCAAAAAGGGCTCAAGTGTTAAAGCACTTGCCTAGCAAGTCTGAGGCCCTGAATACTGCCAAAAAACTAACAAAACTAAAAGACTTCTTTTTGAGAAGTAGAAAATGGAAGCTTTTTAGTGTAAAGTTAGAATGTTGTTTGGAAGAATAATGATATGCAAATCATATTGTTGAATTTTCCCTAAAAAGTGTTACCTGCTAGAATGACTGAATACTCCATACTCATGATCTTAAATTTTATTATGTCGTCTTTAATGAATTTTATTTCTGTATAATTTCTTCTGAAGTAAAAAATAAATATTTTTGCTATATAATCTAGTCAAAAGTTACAAAAGGAGAAATCTTTTCTCCAACTTTTGGCCTTTTTTCTTATTTTATGGTGTTTAAAGCAAGTTGCTCATTTCCAATCTTGTATCTCCAAAAGTATACTGATGTATGAATCATAAATTTCAGGCTTCGAATCCCCTTCAGTACATGCTAAACTTAATACTTTTTCTTGTAACAGGTTAAACACACCATGAAAAAACTGAAATTAAAATGTACTCCTTTGGTTTTTGAAATTATTTGTATTTCTAAGTAGATGCAAGAGAAAGGCACATTTGTAATTGGCTGCAGACTTGTAGGCTGACTCCAGAGCTTGGCTGTTGTGAACAGTGCTTCTTAAACATGGATGTACAGATATTGTATGCTGACTTAGATTCCTTCAGGTGTATTCCCAGGAGTGCAACAGCTGGATCATACAGTAGTTCTAGTTACATATTTTTGAGGAACTTCCATACTGATTTCCATAGTGGCTGCACTAATTTACACTCCTACCAACAGTGTGCAAGCGTTCTTTTCTTCCCCTCATCCTCAAAAGAGGAAAATTCTCTTTTCCAAACTGCAGAATGAGTTAGTGCTAGTCATTAATAATAGATTATAAGGGGGAAAAATATATATGGTATAAATACTACTACACCCAAATCTTTGTCAAATATTGTGACATTTCCATTTGATCAAACTCTGATTATATAAAGAATAATTCTGTTGTGTGTCTTTCACATAGCATCACAGAAACCCAAAAGAAATTTCAATTGATAGGATAAGAGATCTTACTTAACTTTTTCTTGTAAATTGTCAGTGCTTTTCCCCCTAATTTATTTATCCATGGCAGTTCTTTTTTGTTTTTTTTAAAAAAGTATTGTATTGTGGTGCTTGGCTCTTCTTCTTACTAATTAAATATAACCAGAAACTTGTTTTGTAATTTTAGAAAGGACTTTGGATTACTGATTTCAATTTTTAGCTCTTAAAAATAATCCAGTCTCCTGTGTGCTGGTGGCTCATGTCTATATTCCTAGCTTCTCAAGAGGCTTACATCTGAGGATCAGGTTCGAAGCCATCCCAGGCAGGGAAGTCTCATCTCCAATAAACTACACAGAAGAAGCTGGAAGTGATGCTGTGGCTCAAGTACTAGAGCACTAGCCTTAAGCAAAATAAGTTCAGGACAGTGTTCAAACCCTGAGTTCAAGCCTTAGTACTGGCAAAAAATTCCCAACAAAGCCAACATCCAGTCTGAGCTGGGTATGCTGGCACACACCTATAATCTCGGGAAGACAAGAGGATCACAAGTTCAACATCTTCCCTGTCATGAGTTATTGAGACCCTATCTCAAAAACAAAATACAAACAAAAAGATATGACTAAAGTATTAGATCATTTATCTCCTATTTTTGAGGCCATGTGTTAATTCTCCAGTACTGAAAAAGCAAAAACCAACAAAAAAAAAAATTGCTATTACTAGTGGAATTGATATTTTTTGACTGACTCCACCAGTTTCATTGAAAAGCTTTCGAATTATTTTGAGTTGCCAAAACACAAAATATACACCCTGATTGGTATATTTTCATTGATTAAAAAATGTGAATCAGATATTTACTATTCAAAAAAATGAAGCTCTGTTGAACTGAAGAAACATTTTGTTGTTGTTGTTTGGGTTTTTGGTTTTTTTTTGAGACTTGGGAAAGTGGTTCCCTTGAAGTTAGTAACTCTGCATCATGACTTGTTGCTTGTTACCCGCCACAAAGCATCTTTTTTCAGATGGAAACTGGAACTTCTTGTCATCTTAGCCATTTTCTTAGTACTGCTGGAGCTGTGGTTAAAGGTGTCATGCTCTGCTGTTTGTACTGTTCATTTGATGTTGCATTCATGTTGTCCATGCGTGAGGATTTACTGACTCGGCGATTATGTAAGCAGGTACAATTTTGTGTTTTACTGTATGTTATTGGTGACTGATGTTTTTACAAAAGAACTGAACAAAAAAAATATCTTTTAAGAAATTTGGCATGTGGTTTTGGTTTTAAAATTTGATTTTCTTAAGAGGGTCTGGGTCATTCGGTCACTAAAGGAAATAGAATTAATATAAGTGAGATTTGCTACAGGGCATAGCAGTATAACTCAGTAAAATGGAACTGTTTTCTCTTCCTTAATCCCATAGACATCTGCAGAGACAGTGCTACATGATTTCAGCAGAGCTGTCCCTGCCATTTATATAATAATGCCTCACTTACTTTATTAGTTTCTCTAAAAGACAGATTGTAAAGGCAACAGAAGTTCACACCAACAGTTTATGTAAGCCAACTTGAAGTAAATCTAATTTATAGTTATATTTTCTTGCCATCTTAACACATTATATGTATGTAATATAACCTTTATCTTGGTTGCTAAGCATTTTTCTCATGGACATTATTGTTGTAATGTCTATACATTAGGAATCTAGTTTTTTATTTTTTAGGAATCTAGTTTTAACTGCTTGTTTTCTTTTTCTTTCTGCTTTTGCTGTGGTAACTTTAATCTGCTTATTTCTTAGTTGTATGGATTTTGAAAATAGCCCATGTTATCATGCATTCTTTGGGAAATATTAAAAAAATAGGCTACAGAGTCAGAGTGAGATGATAGTGATATTGAGAGTAATAACAGTATTTGCTCCCTATTCTTAAAAAAAAATGATTGGCTGCTATAGAGTACAGTTTTTCACACACAGTTCCACACTCAGTCACCTTAATAATAGCATGATCAGTGCTATTATCATCCCTGTTAAGTAGTAGGTAAAAGGAGGCAGAAAGAGTTTTTTTCCCTTGATTTCACCACTAATAAGTGGAATGGAATCCAGCATTGTCTGTGGGTGAAGCCTGTATTCTTGCTACAGTTACATAGACTTCCTAGTATTATGCCAGATGGTGATGCATTCCATGGGAATAAATGAAACAAGATCAAAGGGATAGAAAGTGGTCCTAAGTGGCAGGAGTCAGAGGAAGAGAGGATTGGAGGAGAAGGTATCCTGTTAGGTTCAAGAATATTGATGTTAAGAAAACCTCAGCTCTATGAAGTAATACTTCTCTTTGCAGTGCCATTGTAAAATGCTTTCTTGTTTCTTATTGGCAGTGTTATCTAGATTGAGTCTATGGATGAGTACGCAACTTCGAATATTGGTTTACTCAGCATACAAGGAAATGGTCCTGAAGCATGTAGAAGTAATTTTGCAGTTCAAAAAGTCTGGAGAGAATCAGTAAATAATTGTTGTGTGTTCATATCAGACCTTACCAACAAGTCACTTATTTTCACAAAACCAATAAAAGGCCATTGGCATATGAGTTACAACTAACACTGAAATTAGCTTTTTCCATCTCTGACTTTTAGAAATGGAGCAGGTTTTATTGTTGTATTTGTTTTGCTTTTTGGTGCCAGTCCTGGTACTTAAATCAGGGCTTGGACTCTGTCTCTGAACTTTTTTTTTGCACTTGAGCTTCAGTTTTACTTCTGGCCTTTTTTTTATGGTGGGGAGGGGGAAGGTGCAGGGAGCAGTTTATTGCAGATAAGAGTCTCATGGACTTTTCTGCCCAGACTGGCTTTGAGCTGCAATCCTCAGATCTTAGCCTCCTGAGTAGCTAGGATTACAGGCATGAGCCACTGGTGCCTAATGAAATGGAGAAGTTTTTAAAGCAGGGTCATGAAACATTTCAGTTTGGGGGTTTACTGATCCTACAATTACTAACATTGACATGAAACACTTTTTTTTTTTGCATTTGTGTTCATATGAAATTGTATGGCAGCAAAATATAATTGTCATTTAGGTTTGCATAAATTTATGAGTGAAAAATATTTGAGCAGACTATTGGTATAAGACTCAAAAGCTAGAGAGTAGGCTTCTGGGAGATTACCTCATTTTTCTGTAAATGCAACTCAGGCTTTTTTTTCAGTGAATGCCACAGAGTGATGATGAAGGAGAAGGCTTCATTTTGGGGAAGGAGTGGAGATAATTGTCAAAAAATTAGGATAAAGCAATTGTTTTTGTGAGAAGTGAAATTCAGTATAGTTGTCTAATAGGAAAGCAGCACATTTGCATTTGTAGAAATTAACCATAAATGGAATTTAAAAGAGATGGTTTTATTTTTTTAAAAACAAAAATCTAAGCTCAGCACTGGTGGTTCATGCCTGTGTAATTCTAGCTACTCAGGAGGATGAGTTCTGAGGATTGCAGTTTGAAGCCAGCCTAGGCAGAAAAGTCCCTGTGAGACTCTTATCTCCACTTAACCACTCAAAACACTGGAAGCGGCACTGTGACTCAAGTGGTAAAGCACTAGCCTTGAATAC